TTTGGTGGCCCCGCTAGAGTATTACCGGTTTTCCCCATTACTTAGTTATAATTTTAATTTCGGTTCACGGTGTGACAGAGGGAGAGAGGGAGACTTACGGAGCGACGGTTTTAGGCGGCCATTTCCAACGGCATCGCCGCGCGCCTCTTCAAGGGTACTCCTGATGTTGCTTTCAGAATTTGATCCCTCACATGTCTCTTCGAGAATCTTACCACTATCTCTCCAGACAGATTATTCTTTTTGATGTATACGGAATAGGCTCTATAAACCACATCCATTTCGCTTGTAAGATATTCCACTTTTAAATCTGCAATTGGAGCCAATGCCTCACTCAACATTTGTTTTAGATTATCGTCTTTAGCCTCAGGGACTCCTTGAAATCAAAGAACAAAGTTGGCTTTCTCCATTTGTATCTGCAATAGCTGAGATTCAGAAGAAACTTGCTTCTTTTCCACCGACTGCACCCTTTTTAAAATCTTTTTTGATTTGGTATCCATTTCCTTCACCTCAGCTGTTTGCGCCGACAGTTTTTTAGTTTCATTCAATTGGAGCTGCTGAGCTGCAAAGTTCTGGTTTAATGTTGTCAGCTGTTGGTTGATGTTTGTCATCTGGTCCAGTAGAGGGCGCAAAGAGTCTGCTAATAGTTTAGAAAACTCGGTGGTATTTTCCAGTCATGGGCTCATACTTCCAGAAGGTTTTAGTTTCGTTTATCTCTCCTTCTCCGTTTTCTTCCCTGACATGTTAGTGGATTGTTTACTTTTACAAAGAACCTGCTAAAGTCTCTGCAATTCGCCCAAATGCTTATTGGTGCTCTGGTGTGTTTCTCAAAACAGATTTCCACGCTTATTCTTCAGCTCCCCCTTAAAAAATCGTTACTTCATTCATGTGCATGGGAGTGGCCCCTCCCCTGCTCGCTAGTCTCGCCGCTCCTGGGGAAGCTTTCTTTTATAATCCCAGTGTTTTCGTTTAACTTGACTCACTGTTCATTGTTGGTCCGGAGACCTCGCCACTAGCTGACATATCAATTGTTTCTGCAATTCCCTTCTGTTGTTATACAAGCACATGCAACAGGATCATTGTGGCACTCTGGCGCGGAGCTTGAAAAAGGCGGGGAGGGCCACTCAGCAGTCCCCCCCGCCTGCGATGGTTGCAGCTGCCGCCGAAAGTGGCGGCGGGGCCATAACTTTTTAAAGAGCCCCTAAGGACAGCTGGGGGAGCCAGAATGACCTCTCGTGTGAGAGGTGGAATTTGCCCCTACGAGTCCAAAGCCACCACCCCGGGGCTCAGGAAGGCAGGAGAATGTTTTGCCCCGCCCCCGGGCGTTGCAGCTGCCTCCGAGAACAGCGACGGCGGCCATAACTTTTTTAAGAGCCCCTAATGAGAGCTGGGGGAGCCAGAATGACCTCTCATGCAAGAGGTGGAATTTGCCCCTATGAGTCCAAAGCCACCCCCCCCCGGAGGAGGGTGAATGTTTCGCCCCGCCCCCCGCTAGCTTCGCAGCTTTTTAAGGAGCCCCGAAGGAGAGCTGGGGGGGCAGAATGACCTCTCGCATGTGATGTCCGAGTGGCAACGCCCTTCTGGGAAATTTCAGGGGAAAGCTGGCACCCCGGAGCCCCCACGAACTTTACGCCGGTGCGAAGGTTTGGCTTGGCCGTGGAGGCCTGGCCGAGGCTGCTCCAGCAGCCTCGGCCAGGAAGAGGGGGGGATTTTCCTGGGGTGCGCGGCTTTGCGCTCCTCCGGGAAGGTCTGGCTTGGCCCTGGAGCAGCCTCGGCCAGGAAGAGACGGGGGGAGGAAGCCGACTTACTCTCCTGCTTCTTCCTCGTTCTGCAACAGAATGAAGCTGGATGCAGAGGGCGGCCGGAAGGAGGGGGCGGGGCTTCGCCATGTGACCGCCCCGCCCCCCGGGCCTAGAGCGACGTACCAGCGCGCTCTGGCCCGATCCGAGGCCTGGCCATGAGGGTGGGGGACGGAGGCCATCAGCGCCTACGGCGGAAGAGCCACACTCAAGGGGCCAAAGAGCTGCGTGTGGCTCACGAACTGCAGTTTGCCGACCACCGCGCTCAGGCATTTGGTTTCTTTTCTCTTCACCCACTTATTGCTATTGTTCATGCACCTTGTTTGCTTCCCATATTTGACTGATCTCCTGTAAAATAAACCTTTTATTTGTCGTTTACTCTGCTGGGTCCTCATGCATCTTATTCGGCCAAACAAGGGAGGTCAGAAGCCTTGGGAGGGTGCTCTGGGCCTTCTCAAGGGATCCTAAATCCACAGTGGTGGCAGCATCAGGTGACATCCCACCACAGGAATACTGAATGTAGTTCTGGTTACCGTATCTCAAAAAGCACATTGCAGAGCTGGAAAAAGTACAGAAGAGGGCAACCAAGATGGTTAAGGAATTGAAGCACTTTTCCTATGAGGAAAGACTGAAGAGTCTGGGACTTTTCAGAATAGCAAAGAGATGACTGGGGGGGAGGGGCATGATTGAGGTTTATAAAATTATGCATGGGGTAGAGAGTGTGGGCAGAGAACTTTTTCTCTGCACCTGACCTGTGGAGCTAATACATTAAATAAGGCAAAGCTATAATTATAAACAGATTTGAAGTTCTCAGCAGTAGGACTATCTGAGTTTTCATCTTTACCTATCTTATCCCTATTCCTTACTCTCCAGCAGTGCTGTAAAGAAGTGAAGGGGTAATTTTGGTTTACTACAGCTGCTGTGTCCTTTCACTGTCTTCATTCATGTATTAGTTTTATTTAAAACTTTTTTTGAAATTTCATTAGCCACCTTGGGTGCCTGTATTGGTACATGGATAGGATATAAATGCCCTAAATTAACCTACAGGGGTTCTGTCTTACGTGATCATAGAGGCATTTATAGTCTATCTGTGTCTTCTCATTTAGCTCCTAGGCTTCAGCCAGTTGGGAAGATGCCTTTGTTACCCTTTAGCCCTGTCAAGTCACAGTAGATCATGCTTCCCCCACCCCTGGATACTATCTGCTTCTGTCATCACTAGATGACTGTCTACTAGATGAGTAGTCCTGTGGTTTTCTTTTTGGTCCTTTTGTTCTGTCGGTTGGCCTTATTCTTGTTTATTACACAGTTTTTTGCAGTTCCCTGTATGGTAAGGTGTTTATTTTTTACTGTAATCAATTTTTATGGTACTGTATTGTTTGAAAGTTTTCATTTTTTAATTTAGTAGGCGTCTTAAAAGTCTCTGTGTTATCCCAGAGGTCTCTGTGACATCATGTTGTGTTGTGCCTTTCGAATCAGAAGTACCATATGTGCTGATTATCATTTAATGAGGTCTTGCTTCTGACATGGGAGGTTCCCTGTGCTGAATGAAAAGGTTTTCATTTTCAGAGGCGTCTGGAGTATTCTTTCATTTCGTATCTAGGGTGGGGGAGAGGCTTCATTTTGGCACAGCTGTTCTTGAAAAAGAGCAGTTTCTGTCAGAGCTCTCTCAGCCCCACCTACCTCACAGGGTGTCTGTTGTGGGGAGGGGAAGGGAAGGGAAAGGAGTTTGTAAGCCACTCTGAGACTCCTTTGGGTAGTGAAGGGCAGGGTATAAATCCAATCTCCTCCTCCTCTTCTTCTTTTTCTTCTTCTTTTTCTTCTTTTTCTTCTTTTTCTTCTTCTTCTTCTTCTTCTTCTTCTTCTTCTTCTTCTTCTTCTTCTTCTTCTTCTTCTTCTTCTTCTTCTTCTTCTTCTTCTTCTTCTTCATCATATCTGAAGCTTGGCATGATGAAATCACCTGAGAAACAGTGGTAGCTAGCTTGCCACACGTGGGATGGGAAGTAAGAAAAAATTGTTCCAGGGCTTGGATGCAGCCCTAAGAGTCATAAATTGGCCATCTTTGCTGTAGCGAAGTCCACATTGTGTCCCAAGGGTCTCTGCCTGGTGCACTTTCTCAAGAAGTTCCAAACTACACTATCAGCCCATGTATGTTCCATCAAATGAGCTGCACCAGGGACTGTATAAAACTGAGCCTAATCATAGAACTCAAAATGAGAGTGGTTAGAACTGTGTGTCCACTGTGCTTTGGGGGGAAATACCAAACCAAACTTCTGTGCACTGACTTTGAATCCTTCTGGAATAAATGAGCTGAACTTTACAATACAAAATAAATGGATCATTATATATATTGTTTGTGTAAGGCTGTTTCTGCCAGACATAGGAAGAAGGTAAGGAGCTGGGACTGAGATTTCTTGAACATCTTTCAAAACTTTCTTTACACTCTCACATTTTAAGTAAACCTATGATTGTTATAGATTATGGTTGTGAATTTTCTGCCCAACACTGCAGGCTGTTGCATTTGCTGGTATAGCAGATTCATTATGAGAATGAGCTGTGGTCCAAGAAATATTTGTTTCAGATCTCATCACTGTCACAGGGTCATTAGGTAGCCTTAAGTCATTTTCTTTCAATCCCAGTCTACAATGTTAAGAAAATAATAGTGGTCTACCTCAGAGATCTGTTGTAGGGCTTACACTGATAGTGTGAAGTGTGTTGAACACTGAAGACACTGTATAACTGCTTTATCATTACTATTACAATTACTACTTGGAGCAGAAAACTCAATGCTGAGTAATACAGAAATACGTGACAGAGAAAAGACTAAGTACCTTTGTAGATTGCTGTTGTGGGTGAAGAACAAGTAATGTACTATCAGTTTCCTTGAGCCCGTCACTGGGAACTGATAAAGACTTAAATTGTACATACAGGCCTGAATTCTGCCTTTTCATATGTCAGAATTATTTGCGTTAGGCAACTACAGTGAACTATATTACCTATGCTGTGCAGTGCCTTTGTGTGTATCCTTACAAGTCCTTCACCATCAAAATACTAATATATATTTTGAAACTCATGGGAAAAATACTTTTATTTTCACTTTTGTGCTTTTAAAGCTTGTGAATTTTTATTTTTAAGTTTTGGTGATGATTGAAAATTATCCCATATTGTTCTGTAAATCAGTAACATGATTGGTGTCTTCCTTTCCAGGGGTCCATTCAGTGTTGTACGGCGATGTATCAACAGAGAGACCGGACAACAGTTTGCTGTAAAGATTGTCGATGTAGCAAAGTTCACTTCAAGTCCAGGATTAAGTACAGAAGGTAAAAGTCAATTATCTTTTTTAGTTGCATGTTATCCATGGTCACCTTGCTAATTCCATATATAAGAGAGATGCAGATACCCCCACTGTTAGTGGCATTTTCTGACAAGAAAACACTCTTGTGTGTTGGAGATTTGAATTTCACTTTTAGAAATCCTCTCAAGATATCACCTACTATGTACTAAGAAGTACAGCTACTAACTGGAAATGATCTAAGCTATTTAAATTAGTGTAATTCACATCTGGAAGTCATTTAGCTGAGTTAACTTTTCATGTGTGTGCAGGAATTCAGATTTAAATATATACCATAGAGAAGTAATCTGCAGGCAGTGTGGAGTCCTTTTACCTTAGGTATACTAAGGTAAAAATGATACTGCAATATCACTTCCAGAAGAGTAGCTGGATTATTGTGGTAAAAAAGCAGAGCCTGGATGTGCTATTCTTTAAGTATTACAAGTTTTAAACCATTTATCACCTTAGTTTTTGTAAGAAAAGTCTTTGGAGACAATGGGTTGGATCAATTGATGTGCAAATGGGAAAAAAAATCTACTTAACATATCACCTTTCGCATATTGTACCTCAGGGAGCCATTTTAAGAATGAAGCAGTTGCTAGGGTCACTTCCTGAAATCCTGGGATTGGTGTGAACAGAAACACAAACACAGGTACAGTGTTTGACTTAATGCAAGTGGCTACTGTGGTCTTTTACTAGGATTTTCACTTGCACAAGAGCTCTAATGCAAACAGATGTTTTGCATAAAATCCATCCCATTATATGGATTTGAAGTCTAAACTGGTAAATTTTTGTTGACTCAGCAAATGTACAGAGTATAGTTAGTTTCCTTTAAATTAGAAAAGAAAATTACTACATATTACTTTTGGACACTGTTGAGAGATCCTTTCAATAGCCAATGTTACATGTACTGCACATGTACTCTCTGTCTCTCTCTCTCTCTGAATGAAATGCTACAATTTGTGTTTACCTAGGTCAGTACAATGTGAGATGATCATCTCTTTTCTGCATTGCTTTTCCAGATATTTTTATGTACAGAGTTATGCAAGTGAAATTATAATATCTGTAAGCAGTGCTGAGCTGATATTTGATGTACTGAATTTTATCCTTCTGAAGTATATCTTGAATATTGCTTCTGTAAATTTTTCATTAGATTTTTTCATATTCATATTATTACTCTAATAGCTACCTACTAGTAAGTAGATAAGCCTACTTACAGCTTGTCAAGTTAAAATTTCACTTTCTGCTCCCTAAATTCTGCCTTCACGTTCCTTGTCAACACAGCTTTGTTCCCTCATTTCTACCTTGACATAGACAGTCCCAGCAACTGGACAAAAGGCTAAGTCTGAAAATAGTCTTGGCTCCTTCCCTTTGCGGTTCTTGCTACAAATGTTACTCAGGCAGCTTCACTGATGGATATGAAGAAGAAGAAGAGTTTAGATTTACTTCACTTGGAGTCTCAGAACAGCTTACAAACTCCTTTCCCTTCCCCTCCCCACAACAGACACCCTGTGAGGTAGGTGGGGATGAGAGAGCTCTTTCAAGAACTGCCCTTTCAAGGACAGCTCTTGTCAGAACTATGGCTTGCCCAAGGTCATCCAGCAGCTGCAAGTGGAGGAGTAGGGAATCAAACCTGGTTCTCCCAGATTAGAGTCCGCACACTTAACCACTACACCAAACTGGCTCCTATGAGGGCTGGAAAGTGGGGTTGTTCTCCCTCAGATGCAGAGGGCATCTTGGTGGGTGATTCCCACCACTCAAGGAGGCAGGGACAACTTTCCCCCCTCCTTCCTGTCTCTGCTGTGGGAGTCACCTGCCCTTCAGTTCCTGACTCATCAGGGAGAGCAGTTAGAGGACTGGACTGTTCTTCTGTTTTCTATTTCTATTCTTATTTCACATTCCTCATTAACTGTTAACTTTTTCCTTGACTTTACTGATCTTTTCTTCTATTGGTTTCTACTGAAGACAGAGCTCCTTAAAGGAACAGTGACCAATTCAGATTGTTGGCTCACATAGGACGTCTTCCAGCAGCTCAAGCCATGATTCACTGGAAGGGCAGCAACGGCTTCCTCTCTGAAGCAGAGTTGGAGGCTCCACTCATGGCAGGAGCAGGAGAGTTCTTGGATCAGGCAGGCAACAACACTAACAGGGCTGCCTTGGCTGAGATGGATCAGACAGCCAAACAGGAGCCAAAAAAGCAAAAATGCGCCCCTTCAGAAATCAGCTCCTGAGTACTTGCCACACTCAAATCTACCGGTTATGTGTGGTGGCCATTTTGATCACGCAAAAAGAGGCTGTGAAGAAGACCCCATTGCCTCCACAAGCCAGTCAGGCACAGGGACTGACGGGAATGATAGGGAATCCCTGACTCAAGTCTCCACAGAGCTGTCAAACTATCCTGAGTGCCAACGGAAGGGTAACATACTCACCCCAGGCTCTTTAATTTCCCTCCAGAGTTGTTCTCACTAATTAGAAAGACCATGAAAAAAGGATTGAGAATTTCTGCCAACAGGGAAGACTTAGATCAGGCAAGGCTTTATCCAGCCTGCCCTCCTCTCCTTCCCTCCACCAGGCATGAAAACTCATGAGGAGCCTCATTGATTAAAGAAGGCTTTAGATGGCCAGCTAAAGCAACACAGAAGGATTCAGCCAATAGGCAGCAAAGGAGAGATAGTCCCCTACAGGGACCCAGTCTTTCCTCAGACAGCGACATAGATGATGAGGAGGGAGAATTCCTCTCTGATTAGGAAGAAGAATATATTGAGGTTCCTGAACAGTCCATCAGATTTTTTAAATCAGAGAACTACCAGGACATCCCATCTTTGTTGCCTATTGTTCTTGGCCCTACTTCAAATATCGACAGATCCACCTTTGAGACTCCCTGTATCTGTAGACATGCTAAAGCAGGGATCAGTTTGACACCCACATCTGAAGTTGTTAAACTTGACTGCTGGAGATTGAACGGAATAACTTCCTTCAATTAGGTTACAGCACAGAAGTTGCAGATACTCTCCTTGCCTCTAGGAAGCAATCAACCAACAGAATATATAACACTACTTGGAAAGAATTCGCTCAGTGGTGTAGGAGAAAGAGAGTCGATGCCCTAAACCCACAACTTAAGTGACTTCTGGACTTCCGTCAAGAAGGCATTGACAGAGGTTTGAGAGCTGCAGCATTCAAATGGTAAGTTGCAACACTGCCTACAGTGTTACCTCTAGTTGAGGGCGTCAGTCTGTCAAGATATCCACACACGCGTCGCTTCATCAGGGGAGCAACTTTAAAAGATCCTCCACAGATGCATAGATTTCCAACCTGGAAATTACATAGTTCTTTCATCCCTCGCCAAACCACCCTTCCAGCCAATGAGAGAGATTCCATTGAACTGGCTGAGAATGAAAACTATATTTCTGGTGGCCATCACTTCGACGAGAAGGGTATTAGAGCTCGGAGTGCTTTCCATCAAACCCTAGCTCTGTATCTTCTACAAGGATAAGGTGACACTGAGAACCAATCCAACCTTTCAACCAAAGGTAAATTCTACCTTCCAGTCACCCAAGGTAAAGGTCATGGTACATGCAGAACAGAACATATCAGAGAAATAGGTGTCCATTTCTATTTCCCCACCAAATATGGGGAATAAAATAAGCCAGCCATCAGCAGGTCTCTCAAGGCTTGTATCATTGAAGCATACAAGCTCCACAAGCTGGATGTGCCACATGGAATCGCGTCTCATTCAGTGAATAGCATGATAACCGACACAGCATTTGCTAGGCATGCCACGGCAGAAGAAGTATGCAAGGAAGCAACATGGTCATCCATCTCAAAATTTATAAGGCACTATAAGATAAACACCTACAATTCGGCCAATGCTTCCTTCAGTAGAAGAATACTTCAACGTATCCTAGACGCAGAAGATGACCCACCCAGGACATGAGGACACTGCTATGGGTGGTCCCACCAAGATGTCCTCCCTCTCCAGAGGGAGAAAGTACCATTGGATACTTACCATGAAGTGTCCTTCTCCTCTGAGGAAAGGAGGACATCTTGTCCCTCCAAAGTGATCATCAATCTGTCAGTCAACCAATCAACCAATTAGCTTCAGGATTCCTTCCTATTTCAACTGTTCTACACTTAAGTGTTCTTAATTGTTTTTCGTTAATATTATATATTACCTGTTTTATCCAGTTCTATAAAGTAGCTTAACTGCTTTTCAGAGTTGCCAGAACTGAAGGGTGGGTGACTCCTACAGCAGAGATAGGAAAGGTGGGCTACAAATAATGTAAATAAATAAATAAATAAATATGGGTGCTGTGAGAAAGAATAGGGAAAGGTTACAAGGGAAAATTAAGTGTGACCCCCCACAAGTCCTTGCAGGTTCACTACTTATCAATATGTCTAATTCTCAACATGGCCAAATCTGGGGATACTTAAATCTGGAGACTGGAACTATGAACAGACAAGACAGATCTTCCTGTAAACCTGAAAAAAGCCCCAGGTTTTCACAAAAGTCTGAAATCTAAAAAGAATACATTGGGGGGTTAAAACACACCGCAATTATAAGAGGAGCACCTGTAGTTTTAAAGAAATTGTTTCCCTCAGTGGCCATTGCCAGGCAACCACAACAGTATTGTTGGCTTGCAAACTTGAGTTTCCTCAATGTGAGAGAGCAGGGCCCCTTCCAGGGCTGATTTGGCTCCTGACAGAGGACCACCAGCAACTACTGAGTTACTTGCTACTGCTGAATAGGAATTTCTACTGCTGAAACCAGGATTGGCTGCTTGCTAGTGGTGAACAGCAGCCCCCTCACAGAGGCCAGTGTGGTGTAGTAGTCAGAATTTCAGACTACAATCCAGAAGACCAGGTTTGGAATCACCACTCTGCCAAAGAAGCTCAGTGGGTGACCTTGGGACAGTTACACATTCTGAGCCACCCAGGTGTGTAGCGATCACCTGGTGACTTGCTGCTATGCAACAGCAGCCACTATATAAC